ACAAAGAAGAAAAAAGTAATTCTTTTGCCAAGGAAAATAACATTAGTCTGACAAAGAGAATTCAATGTAGAAATCAACAAATCTTAAAGTTCCAAATATAAAATAAAAAATCTCAAAAATAGTTCCCGTGTTCCTCATGACAACACTAGCAACCTAAAAAACTCAGTGATAGATATCTTCCCCAGGAAGTTTCGACCAGTATAACTTTTACAGAACAGACAAATGGAAAAACAGCTCATAGTAAAGAGAAAAAAGTTGTGGACTCAATAAATTCGGTGAAACGGTTCTTTGAAAAAAGTGAAATTGAGCTATAAAGTTCAAAAAATGACCGCAGAATTCAACTTCTTCTGCTCCATTATCGTCAACCTCACAACAGGAATGCTGCCAAAAGCAAACAAGTCTATGTATTTTACTAAAAGAAGAGCCTTCTTAATCAAAAATGGGAATTTTGCATCTGCATTTCTGTGGAAAATTGTATCCCTCTAATATCTGCTACTAATGCAGTCAGAAACAGGAAAACAAAACGCTATGAAGTCCTATGCCTGTTATCATCCTTAAGAAAGGATCACCTCAACTCCCACTAGAAACAGATATTTCAAAGTCCTTGCTAAACTCTTCCTTCAATTCTGAGAGCTCACCAGTAAAAAAAATTACGACAACCCACGAAAACAAAAATAATCCCACCATAATCGGTACCATTTAGATGCTAAAGGTATTGGTAGCACATGCAACAGCAAACTTACGTTCCTGAAGAAAGCTGAACAACGTTATCATATTCACGCAGAGCATCGAAAAGATAACTAAAATCTTCGTCTTCCGTCCAACTGGTCGAAGATATCAACAAAAGGGGGCGATTCAAACGTAAGTGAGCAACACCATTAGCATCACGAAATGAAAAACAAGTTGCTGAAAAGCTCTAACTGCATTAAGCTGTTTAAAATAAAGCTTGGAAGACCTAAGAAAAAAATTTACCTTCATTCTCGTTTGCCTCATTAACAGGAGATTTGAAAGACGCAAAATCACTAACAGACTGACTCAACCGCCAAAACAGCTGATGGCGCTGTTCAACGTCCAGAATCTTAAACTTCCAAGAGGGAGGTTTATCATAGACTGTTGCGGGACGGATACTCCACTCGCTAATCATATGCTCACGCATTGCATGAGTAACACATAAATTCAAGTCTGCCCGCCTTCCAAAAAAACCTTCCCAAAAATGAATTCCCTCTATCGCCCTAAAGGAAAAAAAAATTTTATTATTACTTTAAAAAATTTGATTACCTAAAATTTGTCTAAAAACCACAAATTTCGTCTTCGTACCGCCGAATAATACGTCCTGATTTTTTGTCATTGTTCCATTTCTTTCTTTTTGAAGTTACAGCAGTCACTCCGTGCACCGGTCGATCTACCCTGACCGCTCGCCTTCGTTTTAAATCGGTGGCTGTGTATGCTGAAAAAAAAAAAAAACATTCCTCTCGAAAAAAAACCAAATTATGACCTGGCATGTTGTTTGTACTTCAGCTCTCTTACAGAAGCAATGGCTCAAAAATATTGCACTCAACTATTTTATAAACTAGAAGCAAAATTATAATTTCTGGAGTAACAACAACCAGAGATGTTTTCACCGGGTTGTGCAACCGACTGGCTGCCACCCGAGGCGCTACGAAGATGAAGATCACTTTCATTGATACAATATGTTTGGCATAGAATAGAATAAGTGTAATTATGCCAATCAATAATGAATTGAGCCCGGTACAATTTTGCAGCCTGAAATGAGAATGTTATAAGAAAATCAAAAATACACAGTCAAAAACTTGTGCAATTATTTCTTCAAACAAAAACTGACTCAAAAATTAATTTCTAATAAAAAAAAGCCAGCAATTTTGAACGACAGTTAAAGAAAGATATTTAAAAATGCCCATCTAACCAGCCAGCAAACAAACATGGCAGGTACTCCAGGTGGGTTCTGCATCATAATTAACTCTGGCCATTTAACATGAAGTAACAACGTGAAAAATAGCGTGAGGAATACCCACAAAAATTTAACCGCCAGAAGCAATTTCTGATAAGTCCCTTTCAATCCATCAACAATTTTTGGCAACGAACGAAGAGGCAAAAATCTGAAAAAGTTTTGATGTAACTGAAAAACTTTTCATACTTAGCAGATTACTGTATCAAAAATAATAATTACTACTTAGTTGCTTCGTTGGGGTACAGCCGCAAGCAATAAAGATTTTAATTAAGATGTCGGTGTCAATGTAAAGAAAAGAAAATTAGTTTAAAAAAAAAAATGTAAGTCATTTAAATTAATGAATTTTGAAATGTTCATTGTTCATCATCAGTTTTCTAAGTCTATCTATTACTTAATATTAGGATGTTTGAATATAGTGGGATGTGGTTGCGAATCCATATATCCAACAAGCTGGACAAAGCAGTTTTTATCTGCTAATGATTTTGCATGGTAACACATCCGTGGACTACGGCCAATGTCGCCGATAACGACTAGAACTGCACTTCTGGTCCTAATATTCATCTAAAACAGGGAAGACGATTTGAAAAAAAAAACCTAACATTAAATATCGTAAAAGAAGCAAAATCATAAAAAAATGATGCCAAAACTTTTGCCAAAAGTTACTTTAATTTTTTCACTTAGAAACATTTATTATTTGGCTTCCCTCCGTTCAAGAAAAAAAAAAAAAAAGAAAAAACTACTGCTTGTTTACTCCTAATAAGTCGTACAAAATATCCATATTGAATCAATTTCAAAACTCACCCAACGAATTACGGTGAACAAATTTTAAATGCTTCTATAATCAAAGGTCTTGGATTGGAAGAAGTGTAAACTTTACTAGTTAAACAACTGAAGTTTTGGAGTAAAAAGCAACATTCTGCACTCTATGCTCAATTTCGAAAGCGAATGGAAAGAAAACTGCATGTATTTACGCATTTTCATACCGCTCCTATTTAAAAGTTAATTCATGCGAAAATACGGAAAGCATAAAAAAGCCATACCCTATACATCCAAGGCTCTATTATCGGACGCTACCTTCCTTGCCAATCCATGCAAAGTGAGGAATGAATTTCAAACAACCGTAAGACTATCTAAAAAACATTGTGGCTTATGCTATGGTCAAACTCAATCCTGATTTCCCTTGTCGACTCCGCCTTTTTAGAGACTACATTTCTGGCAAAACTCCAGTGCAGGGAACTCCCTCGGTGACATCCCCACTATGGTCTTTAACGGTGGATATTATGTGGCAATCCTTTCTTTCCTGACCCTTAAAATTAAATTGTCTTTTAATCGCCACTAGAAGCCTTCCCCCATAAAGAAAAAAGAAAAAAGTTCAGTTATGGTGACAAGATAAAGGGAAGGTAACGGGCTCATCAGTATCAATTATAGAGAAATTCTGGTCTCTGTAAGCTAATATGGAGCAAACGGAAACGTTGTAATAACGTTGTAGGAAGGAGCGACATATTTATAAGATGCGTGCGAGATGTGATACTAATTGCATATTCAGACGTTCCCTTCTTGAATTAAATTGGTTGACCTCTGTCACCTCCCGTATTCCAGAAGCTGCTTTTACTGTCAATTTTAAAATACGCAAAAACATTTGGGATCCATAAATTAAAAAACCAGAGCTTACAATTTTGGAAAGAGCTAAGGGCAACTCAGAAAACAGTAGCAATCGGACAGTAAATCTTCACAGAGTTCCACACAAAAAAAATCTTTGTTAGGCCACAGTTAACAGACACCACATAAAAGTTTCACTTCGAAAACAACCTTGTCAATCTAGAAGCCCATAGATCAGTACTGCAGTGTAGATTTACGAGGAGTACAATTCTTGAAAAGAACAGAGTCAACGGCTGGATTTAGAATTTACCGTCCACACAGTAAATCTTGGTTACTTTCAGTAGCTGAGTTAAATAATTGGATAAAATCATAAGAACAATTTGAAGATACAGTGATTTAAGCAAATAAAAAAAAAAAGGTTTCTAGTATTTCCAGACTCGTCTAACACACTATTGAACGACCTAACAACAAAAAAACTATATTACGTGTACATGCACTTATATGTGTAAACAACTTTACATTGTTGCTAATATTTCACGTAACCGGTCATACGGTTATAACTGAACACCTGCAGCAACAGTATTAGTGTGGCTCAGCAGCAAATAAATATATATCCTGAAACAAATAAATCTATGGATGCGAATTTTATAAAGATCAAAAAGAAGTATGAAATTGAAAAATGAAATTTTTCAAAATTTCTTAATGTAATTTTTCGCAAGTCTACCTCGTTGTTGTCAAACACTTGTAAGTTTAAATTTATTGACGTCTTAGTAATATAACATAAAACCTTCGCTTAAAGGAATGAATACGGTTTTATTCAAATTTCAGTAAAACAGTGAAATGTCCGGTGCAGATACTGGCATACAGAATTTTTGCAGTTCAAAGCCATGTTAAAATAAATAGATTGTTGATTCCTGCACTTTATGCCCACTTTTTAGTTATAATCTTAAAGTGTCACAGTTGATGATTTTTAGTTAAAAGAATGAGATTTGCCAGATACTCTTGAAAGAAATGATAAGGTGGTAAAAACAAGAAACCTAACGAGAAACTGTAACAAAAGAACAAAAATAGACTTAAGGTGACGAGGAAGAACCGAGCTATCGAAAGCTTTTTGAAAAAGGATACTAAAAAGAAAATTTATTATCTTTTTTAGGTATTATTGTATCTACCACCCAACCTTTTCCTCTTTTGGGCTTCATTCAACGCCTTTTTTGTACCTTAATCCATTTCTAATTGGCAAAATATTTGGCAGCTATCTCTAAGTTCATCTCGTACTATTTATGACACCCCTCCTCCCTATTTCAAGAAACGGCAAAAATACACAAAGTTATAGTCAAAATAAAAATTAGATTTTTCCAGTTTTTGTCCGCTGAGGTATATAGCAGCTGCTTCTTGCTAGGCGAAGAGTTTGATCTTAAGACATGTTAGATTTGAAAAGTACTGTGACGTTAGAAATGGCATAGTTTAATTTACAAAAATTAAAAAAACTTTCGGTTTCACCTGATCTTCATCCGTCTTTGCCAGCGTGTATACATCTGGTCTGAAAAGGACGAATAAAAGTCAAACGCAGCCTTAAATGACTATCAACTGGACACCAGGCAGTCTAAAACAAAAGGTAGTGCCCGGAACTATAAGATTCACGGAAAGGATCTAGCTGTACATAGTTTGGAAGCTCATTTTGCCATGATTTAGCAAAATGTTTGTAGAAGAGAACTACGGAGAATAATGCAACACTACGAAGAAAATCTTTATCTAGTGAGACGCTATTGTGGCTCCAAACTTTAGAATGCTGTACCATTCTATTTATTTCTGGTCACGCCATATGTAGCACAGAATAATCAAATTTTTTTTAGGATTCCCGCTAAATGTTCATTCGTTTTTCGCAGGTTTTTATTAAAATAAGAAAGCCTTTGCACTATTTGTTTACAAAACCCCAATTATTTTCTCATACCGTTGCACAACTGGCCAAAAATTTCAATTTTGAAACTACCAAATTTTAGTGTCCCCTAAAAAGTTCAGCTGATTTTTTCCTTCTTTCTGTTCCCAGTAACGCTCCATGGGTGTCCTTTACGCCGCTGCACACAGTTTTTTGCTTACAAAACTATTACCACAAATTTTTTTTATAGCACTCCTACAGAAACTCATGCTCTGGACGTTTTAGGTGTCTGGAAAGTTTATGGCTCAACTTCGCGACTGTCCGCGAAATCCACACTTCACTAAACACGCACAGTGGTTCCACAGGGTTCAGACAGGAGGTCAGATATGAAAAAAATATATAAAATTCCAAAATTTCAAAAATTCAGAGGTATGGAAGTAATTAAGCCAATTAAATTAGGCAAATAGACCATATCCAAGAAGGTCATGACAAGGCTTATAAAGGCTTAATACTAAAGAAGATCGATGAAAATTTAGGGATCGACCTTGAGCGTTTACTTTGAAAAGAGTCAAAGTTTTTACGTGCACAGTTTGGCAGCCCCTGAAGTTTTAGTTTTGCTTAGTTATTTTTGAGTATCATTTACTCGAAGTTTTGTTTTTTTCACTTGTTACCTGTCAATACCCGTCGGTTGCTTATTATCCGGTTTTCTTTAGTGTCCGTTTCATTTAGGGTTTTGTTTCACGTTTGGTTCTATAATTCTTATTTCAATTCCCGTTTTTAAAGTACTGTTAGACTCAACAAATAAAGCTAATACCCCGGTTCTCTATTGCAAAGTAGGAATTTAAACTATGAAGTAGGAGGTCAGGATACCAACTCAATAGAAACAGGCTAGGAATCACAGGGGGAACTGAAGAACGTTCCTGGAAAATAATTTTCTTAAATAAAGAACAGCACACAAAATAAACCAGTAAGTTTCTACGGTTCTCTTGGCATAAAATTTCAGCTGTTGAAAACAACAGCTAAAGATTATTGTAACAGGTTTTAAAAAAACCGACACACAAACTGACACAAACCGACACATTAGCCCATTAATAACCAAAGGCAAGATCTTCTTTCAAGACTTATGCAAAACAAAATCAGGATGGGATGAAGCGATGTCTATAGCAGAGCAAAAAGAATGGACACTTATCCTCAATGAGTGGCGAGAAAGAGAAGTTTCTAAGATCCCTAGGTTAGTAATACCGGAGAACGCCTTTCGAAAGGAGCTACATGCTTTTACAGATTCATCACAAAGGTGTTACGCGACAACAGTATATATTAAAGCATTGAATGGAACCCAATGGACATGTAAGTTGGTCTTTGCT